GCTTCGGGTCGGCCGAACATGTGTTCGGCCGACCCGAAGTGCAAAAGGAGTTAAACTCAGCCGATCCAACATCTGGATCAGCTAAGCCGAACCTCTGGCAGGCTACTCGCTGCTGTTCGGCCTATTTTCATAGATGCCAAACAGCAGTGAGTGAATAGCCGAATGCCGCTGAGCGTAACCCTGAGCATATGCCTTCGGCTCGACTGAGCCGCTCGGCCGACTTCGGGAGCTGCACAGGCTATAGTGAATAGCCCATACAGCAGCCCTTCAGTTCTACCGAATCGAAGGGGTCCTGTGGCCAAAGCTAGCCGAAGGATCAGCCGAAGCTACAGATAGGTCCTTCGGCAGCTTAGTGAATAGACCCAATATAGTGCTACATCCAATCTTGGAGCCTAGTAAAGGTAGAAATCACTAATGATAGGTCACAGTAAGTAACTGACATATGCAGTAAACCTTTTCAGTTTCAATAAGCTTAGGCTAGTCCATTTCTTAGCCTTTAGCACGGTGATGCCTATGGTATAAAATTGAGTAAAGACTACACTAAGTAAATGCTATGTCATCTTCAATCAGAAATTCAAAATGTATTTTCTTCACAATAAAATCCCATTCAATGAATCTAAGGACAACTATCAATATTTTACCATTTTCTGGAGTCTTACTGATCGCTTACCTGCTCCAGGGAACAAATTCTGCATCAATTCAATTTCATAGCCATTGACCTGGATGGATACAGTACATTTATTACAGTATATATATACATACATCAGTGAGTTGTCAACTGGTTTAAAAACTGATAAATGTAGACAGAATGTTATAGCATTTTAGGATGTCAAGACAACAATGTGACAAAGACCTTAAACCAATGCACATACACAGTATATCATCTTACATTCATTAGTTATACAAGCTCAGTAATAAATATACCGCACACCAGCACATCTTGAGATGTAAGATACCTCAATCCTTGGGTTGGTTGCTATAGGTTATAGGCAACTCAGTAATCTTCGTGTCTAGGGATATTTTCATTCACTGCGCCAATCAGCACTTACCGCCCTCTATGGTAACCGATAAAAGCAATGTCCAGACTGTAGATATGATGCTGAGAACTTTTATTGATGAACTTCAGGGAGAGAGGTAGGGGGTTAGGATCATCCAGGCAGATGTAGACTCCTTCAAGTGGCAGAGTGTGGTAGCTGTCTCCATGAAAAAAACACCTGGCACAGCAGCATTTGAGGTAGAAGTCACCAGTCACGTTCATTCTTGTCATCAGTAGTAACCACTGGGCCTCCAGACTCAAACCTCAGAGTAAGCACATGGCTAGTCCCCAGGCTTCAGGCCTAACCATTTCACACAGTCCATAGCAGCCTCCCCACAGGCAGAGCCGGGGGGAGCAAGAGAGAGCTCACATGGTCCACCCCAAGTATTTATTCCCTCCCCCAGCATGCACCACTGGCCATTAACCTCACTGAGTGGTTGGGAAGGCATACCTACTCATAGCAATGTCTCATTGGTTGCTCTGCTCTGTGGCCAGGGTACACCCAGCAGCAGAGAGATGCAAATGATGACAGATTGATTAGGGGAAAACAAATGAACATAGACTACAAATCAGCAGGAAGCATGAGCTGTAGACCCTGAAATTATGTTTGCAATTTTGTAAATACTTTAACTGGGTATAATATTTTTTCCTAAAAAAAAACTTTACACATGAATTGTTGATAATTATGTACATGAGTGTAGTATGTGACATAAATGTAATGTGTGATTTTTAATGATTGGTTTACAATAATGTATGTACTATCTTTATTACATTCCATAACAGAACAGAACACACCTTTGAATGTGTCACACATTGTGACATTATATGATTAACAGTACGTTGTATTTGCCTCACCTCTCCATCCAAATGCAAAATGTTTGCTTGATTGTGATCAGTAACAGTAGATGGCTGGCAGTACACTCTCAACAACTGAGGTAACAAGCCATCAACCCATCTGAAAAATAAAAGGCAACTATAAACTAAAAGCATTCCAATCATTTAAAAGCATATTATCACAAAATCAATTGTTGGTCACACAGAGTGATAATTGTTATAGATCTAAAGGGAAAGATCATTTAAAAATAAGATTGTTTTGGTTTGTAAATTGCAATCATATAGTAGGTAACATTACTATGCTTACAAAAGCAAATATACATTAAAGATTACTGAAAAGTATATTAACTTTGTCATGTTTGGATCATTTTGTCTATATAAAAAATCTTCTGAGCAAAGGTGATTTTTAACAAAAAACACATTAGGGCCCATCCGCATCACTTGTGTTGGGCTGCACCGACCTGCACTTGGGATACACAGATACCAAGTACTATGCTTTGTACAAGTACTGATACTTTTCCACCCCATTTAGAGAAAAACTAGAGAAAAACACGAAAGTTATGAGACAGCTGTAATTTTTAAGAATCATTGGCTATGGGGCTCCTGGGATTTGTGTATCCCTGTTTTAATGTATGATTTGATATATATATATCATTTATTAGGGTATATATATATATACAGTACATATATATATAATGATATTAGGGATGCACCGATACCATTTTTTCAATTTTTCCAGACCAAGTACAAGTACCGATATTTGTCCAAGTACTCGCGGATACAATTACTGATACCTTTTTTTTTTTGTGCCATGTGACAGTTTTTCTAAAACAATACAGACTAATGATTTCAGGACAGTGGTGGAGCGCCAGGGCCCAATCACAGTTGCAAGCGTTGCGACTCTGGTAGTATCAAAAGCAAAAAGTTTCCCAGCACACTGACCAGCAAGCGGTGAGACAAGTTTTTTTGCATGCTGGCTGGTGAGTGTGCTGTGAAACTTTTTGCTGTTACTGTATAAAGCCCTTGCATGTGCACCTTGCTGTAAAACGGGTGACAAATTGATGAGTGCGTTTGCCATTTGTTTTGCTTGCCTAGTAGTATCAACACAAATATGGATACTGGTATCTGAACATCCCTACCTGCAATGTTAAACGCAGTCCCAATGCAAGGACAAGACAAATTGGATTGATACCAATTATCCTAATTCACACCAACATACTGCATTGGTTTGCACTGGTCGAGAATGGAACATGCTGCATGTATATGTGTTGCAATGCACTATGATGTCTAATAAGGAATAAAATAAAATAGTTTGCCTGCTGTTGTGAATAAAACTCATATCAACAGAACACAAAGTGCTAAAAAAAATTAAAGGCATGTCAACGCAAGCTTAGCACACATTAATAGATGCTGAATGCAATGCAATTGGTGTGAATTCAGCCTTCAAAAAAACATTTAAAAAGAAACTGTAATGTAGGTGTTCCATCAAGTGCTACTTTAATTATGAGTGACATGTATTTGCACTGTTTTATTCTGAATCAATAAATGAAATGGCCTTGTGAATCAACTCAATATGCCTGACTTTGACATAATGAAATCCTAACATATTTCATTTCTTGCATTCATTGCTTATAAAATAATATGAAGAAACAAAGAAAATGCACAGGAAATTAGTTGAGTAAAACTGAATTCATATTCTGTAAAGCGTGTATACTTTTTTTTCAGAGTGATATTGTTGTTGAATATTCTCTAGAACTCTGATTATTTAGCACCTAAAAGCTCATTTTAAGGCATAAAAAAATAATTCCGGGTTTGCAAATATATCTCATATTTTTGCTCTCTACGTTTCCCCTTTGAGATCTATTAGTAAGGGTCCAGTTTATTTAAATCCTCTTGTTTATGTAAAGCCATCCTGCAAACACAAGGACAGTCTGTGATTTTTAGGGTTTATTTACTATAGGCAAATAGGCTTTTCCCTTTGCAAAGAAATTTGCACTTTTGCAAAGGAATTTGTTTCTTAGCTTAGTGAAAGAGGTGAAGCTTTCCTGACTTCCATCGTCCAATCACGTGCAAGCAAAAATACTGTTTTTTATTTTCCTGGAACGTGATTGAGTATTCTTTGCAATGAGATGTTTAGTACTTTCACTAAGCTAAGAGAATTTCCTTCTAAAGTGCAAATTCCCTTGTAAAGTGAACAGCCTGTTTGCTTTTAGTAAATCAAGCCCATTGCGAGTGAATTCACAACTAAGGTATGTCAACATCTTTTTGGCTGTGCAAAGCTTGCTCACTATTGGTTGAGAAAAAGCTGGTGACCCCAACTTTCTGCAGAGTCTCTACTTTGTTTCTGTGAATGTGCTTTCTGAGACTGCGAAGGCATTTTCAGCATAAAAATAAAACATTTTATGACTGCTAACGCTGGAGTAAATAAAGTAAACTAGGCAATAAAAACCTTTTTACTTGCATCACAAAGTTATAATAATCATAAATCTTCCTTATGATCATTTCTTCCTTGCTAAAGTAATCCTGTGACAAACATGGTAATGCAAACACAACTATTATAAGATACAATAGGAATTAAACTAATTATGAAAACAGCATGTTTAAGTACATAGTAGGTTCCGAGGTTTAAGCCAGGTATACATGGTATATAGATGAAAGTAGTCACTCGCACTCCACAAGTATTAAAGTCAATGCTGTTTATTGACTGTGATGATGTGTGTCACAGTCAATAAACAGCATTGACTTTAATACTTGTGGAGTGCAAGTGACTACTTTCATCTATCTACATTTCACTGAGGCATCCGTTGTCACCACCGCACCCACCCAGTTGAATTTGGGCTTTGTCCGGTCAGGAGTGCGATGGGACAGGAGGATTAAGGTATACATGGTATGGCACTCTTCCCCCTGGGATCCCTCGGTCAGCTGATCAAAGGAGCCGCATGGAAAATTCTCGGGCCATACGGAGCTAATAGCCAGCGGCAGGTGGCTAATATCAGAATACAATATAAACAGCGGGGGGGTCCGCCTATCAATGGTTGTAAGCATTAATGGAGGAATCTGTTGCATTTTCTTAATTCAGCCCACAGGTTGAACGAAGAAAATATAGGTGTGTATACCTGGCTTTAGACAGCTGTTATATTCAAAGCTGACTTTTTGTTTAGTTCCCTTCCCACCCCCTACATCCATACTGGTCTTTAATGTGAAGTGTGACCTCATAGGGGGCAAGCCTATCACTGACTTATCAAAAAAGTCAAGATTTGCATAATACCTCAGCAAGGTTTATCTCTGGATCTGTTGATTGTTTTGACATGGTTTCTACTTATGGCAAATGCTTGCCCAGGATTACTTTGGCAGTGAAAAACTGCCAGCGTAACACTGCATGTGCTGGCACAGAGGACTATATTTTTGTTGCTAACAGCTTGAAAAAGGGTCTTAAGAGACCCAAAACATTGCTTCTTTTTTAGAATACGCACTTTATAGAAACAGCTATTTGCTTTTGCCTCGCAGCACCTATTGAAGCCTTCCCAAAAAGAATATGTAAACAGTTACTATAAGCATGTCCCCAGCCTGCATTTGTCTGTCCTGGCCTCATGATATATTGCTGAAGCACCAGGAGATGTGCTATGGAATTTGCAAGGGTGTAATGACATTGTGGGACTTAAAAGAGGGGCATAATGATCATTGGAAGATGAGATAATGCCAGGGAAGCAAGCAAATCTATGGTATCAGATATTACAAGTAAAGCTGGCTATACACTGAGCGAATTTCAGCCAGTTCTTGATGATCCTGCCGAAATACTATCAGTGGGTGGCCTTGTCTGCTGGCTCCCACCCCACATCCTATGATTGAAAAATAAAAGAAACCAGACAGCAAATCATTAGCCAAACAGTCTCTGCATTCAATCAGATGCAATGGGGCCAGCTATCAAAAAATAATAGCTGCACCAGGAGATTCCTCCATCCGCACTGCCACAGATTTGCTTCAATGTTACAATCCCCTTTTTCTGTAGCTCACCTCCTGTCAAACAGGTCAGTGGGCTTCCTATAACCACTACCTTTCCCTAATTTACCCATTTTGATAAATAATAATTCAAAGGCAGAATTAGATTATCGATGTTCTTATGCAAAGTACAAAGTCCCAGGTTTAATGTGCTTCAGGGCCCTGTAACTTAAATGTATGCCTCTGTCTATGTGTATTATTTCATAAAAATAAATGCAGCATTCTGCAAAATAAGCTATCTGTGTTTACTCATATGTCTTACTTAATGTGTACTGATAGGAAGTAACAATAAACAACTCTTTGACATATTCCCCAGTCTATTTAGTATAACATTTGAAGTAACAACTAGATTGCTCCTGGCTATTCCTGTGTGTTTACAGTTTGGAAGCTTACAGAAATGGTAACTGATCTTGACAGAGACAATTCCTGAGAGATGTGAACCGGTGTACAGACTATGTAAGAAATCAAATAAATCCCAAAGGGACTGCTGTAACTTTGCAAACAAGGCTACCAAAAGAACAAACATAGCAGTTGTAGAGATAATACTGAGGAATGCACAAAAGTGCACAATAGTGACCACATGACCACAACAGTGACCAAATGACCACAACAGTGAACAAATTGAAGGTAAAGTCAAGCATTAGCAAGAATCAGTGTATAAACCCTTATTGTGCAGTTAATCAAATTGACCTTACATTTGACCAAAGTTGTTAATATAAAAAAAGATACAAAAAACTACAAAGTACATGCTTACATAGTTACATAGTTAGTCAGGTTGAAAAAAGACACAAGTCCATCGAGTCCAACCTATAACCTATGCTTGTCCAAGAGGCCTAAACTCTATCACTTACACTTACCCTCCGCCTTGGGTTCACACCTGAGCGTTTTTCAGCGCTGATCAAAGCGCTGAAAAACGCTCAGCAAGTGAAATCCCAAAGGCTCCCACCTGGGCGTATTTCAGCGCGTGGAAACACGCTGAAAAACGCCCTACGCCAAAACAAGTACAGGAGCTTCTTTGGGGTGTATCCCGCCATATCCATTGGTATTCCCGAGTGTGGCTCAGGGTTAACAAAGTGGTAACCCCGAGCCACACTCGGGAATACAGTGTAGGTTTTACCTTGTCCGCGATCCCCGCTGTGTCCTCCGGCGGCTGCCGGCTTCTGGGTTTCCGTCCCTTGCAAGCGTCCGCGCCGCAGGGGGGCGGAACTGGCGGGAAGTTTGAAAGTTTTAAAAAAAACCAGAAAAAATAAAGGAAAAAAAAAATCATACCGCCAGGGAGGTATAAAAACGCGTGTTTCACTGAACTGAAAAACGAGCCTATAGTACGTCCAGGTGTGAACCCAGGCTTAAGCAGTAAACCTACACTGATATTTACTTAATTGGTATCAACTAAATCTGTGTACAAAATAAGATTCCGGAAGCAGGCAGCAATCAAACTATGTGCTACTGTCTAATGTCCTCCTCTGGGCTCGCTTCAGCCGCCAGAGCCCTTTGGTTCAGTCGAAGGGCTGCTGTACGGGCTATTCACAATAAATGCATATGCTTCCGCTCGGTTGAGCCATAGTGACAGCCGAAGCGGGGAGAAAGGTCGGCCAAAGCCAACCGTTCTCCCCGCAAATGACAACAGCTGGGCGGAAGCAGCCGTGATGTCATTTAATGACAACAGCTGGACGGAGTTTTGATTTGTCCGGGACAGACTGTCAGGTTCCGGGCAAATGTAAACAGTTGGGTGGAGCTAGCAGTGATGTCACTGCTAGCGCTGCCCAATTGTTTATATGTTGCCGGCATCTGTCAGACCGTAATTTTTTCAATTAGAGGATTGGACCTGGACCTTTTATCTTTTACTTCAACCCTTTAGGTACCCTGATGTGAATAAGCCCTCCTGCCCGCACCCCCACAACCAATGCCCCCAGGGATTGTTGGGAAGAGGCCCTTGTTCCCATTAGCACAAGGGTAAGGTGCTTTTCCGAGGGCATGTGGCCTGGTAAGGCGGGGGGGCACTTGCTTGTCCCCCTCCCCCCTTTCCTGCCCTACCAGGCCTCTGCTCGGATCAGGGGTCTGGTGGGGAATTTAAGGGAGGACTCCACGTTTTTTTTCAACTACTTTCTGGGGGTTGGGTTCCTCCTTAAAATTCCGACCAGACCTTAAGGGTCTGGTATGACTTTAGGGGGGGGGGACCCCACGCTGTTTTATTTTTCTTTTCTTTACATTTTTTTTATTATTTTCTTAACTTTTTTATTTTTATTTTTTTTACTTTTATTTACATTTTTTAACATTTTTTTATTTGTTTGTTTATATTTCTTCTATTCTGCCGCTATGACGCTATGAGAATAGGGGCGAACGGCAATGAGTGAACTGTCGGAGCTGAATAACCCTCTTAGTGATAGTAACTTTCTGAAACATAGGGATACTTAGGCCAGAGCTGAACTGATTTATCAAATATTTCATTTTAACATGCCTGAAGCACTATTTAGAAAACCTTAAGTGTTATTGACTGTATGAAATGGAGCAAATGATTTTTAATCTCTTCAGAACTAGTGGTCATTAAAGCCTAAAAGGCCAGATCAAATTTAGCAGCTTTAGTACCCCTCAACTTGACAAAAATTCTAATCTGACTCTCTAATTCTAAACTTTTTGAAGGACATAAGGATTTTTTGGTACAATGTTTTAATAAATACCTTGCTCACATTTGTTCATTATACAAATGGACATGTGGACAAAAATGTGCACATACATCTTTTAATCAAATATTTACACACTTTGTAACAATGTTACTGTTTATACTCAGGTATTAGTTTTCTCTTTGCACAGTTAGTCAGAGAGCAAGCCAGGGTGCCATCTTCAGGCTGGAGGGTTTTGTTTGTAAACAAACCTCCAGCCTGCAAATGATCATCATGATTGGCTGCAATTACCATAATTGGCTGCTATGGCGATCATATGATAGCATGCTGATTGATTTTCCTTTGTTAGTAGGAGACTTGTAGTTGTCAGTAACAGCGCTGTTTCAGAAATACCAGCATGCTCATGCTAGTTCACAGCTAAAATGTTGATTAACACTCTGACATTCTCTGTCTGAGAATGCTATTCTACATATTGAAGTTGTCAAGAGGTTCAAAAATATGTCATCATACATGGCAAGAAAAAGATGCTAACAGTAGATCATATTTCAGCATATTATAAACACAACACAGAAGTGCAACTATAAGTCATAGTAACCCATAGCAATGCTTTTATGCTTCCCCTTTCCAGTACAACTTCCTTGGCACCTGGTATTTTGCACCCCAGAACAGAAAAGAAGAGCTGGCTGCATTGTCCCCACTTGGGGCCCAACCTTCCCAGGACCATTCAGGGTCTATGAAAGTAAGTTCTGCCTCTGCATCTATAAGCATCAACTGTGTTTTTTTAAGGAAAATATTTTCAGCCTAACAATATAACCTTTTAACGATTTTCACAATTTCAGCTTCTTCTTACCTATGGCTTTTATTCATGAACCCAAGCAACTGACCAGACTGGAGAGCCTCCGTGTAAACCATATCAATCTTGATTTTTTTCCCTTCATCTTTTAACTTCTCCACAAAGGTTTTAATGCACGTGGTCTTCCCACACCCTGCAGGTCCTGTCACCAAGACCTCAAATAAAAAAAGGAATATTAACAGTGTGTCAGGTACTGCCAAACAAATTAATTTTAATGTCACAGACTTGTAATTCGATCTGAGCAACACCATTAACTCTTCACAGTGGCAATTTGGAATATGTGATCATTATGTTAATTTCCATCTTGGCCATAATTCATCTTAAATGTGATAATAAACTTCATTATTATTAAAGGGCTGGTTTACAAACACACATTGTATAGCACCCAATATAATATATATATCTGTTTCCCTGCAAGATGTCCAAGCCAACTTCTCCCAAAAGGCTACTGCTGATATTTCTGCTGATAACATACCAGGCACTCACACTTCATGGATATGTTGCCTACAGCAAAAGCAATCATTCCAATAACTTTGATGATGCATTCAAATTAGTCATTATGAGCTACATCTGTACTTACTGTTTGGTATTTTGGTGCCAGCTGAACCAGATGGGAAACTTTGGATACAAATGTGTTACTGGGAAAAATATGACATTTTTCAGCAGCTTTTATTATGGCACTCGGGACGCTGGTTTCTCCCATACATTCAGATGAGGGAACCTGCTGGCCAGAACCATATTTCGCAGCAATGACTGTAGGGAACGGACCATCTGGAGCCAAAGACATAACAGATTTAGTGGCAGAAATAGTTTACATAGCAGCAAACTAAGAAAAAGCTAATTTACTGAAAATAGTCTCTTCTTTTTTAAATATGCAATTCAATTGCTGTCATATTAATTACTGCTGTGAGACAACAGGAATAATGCATAGTGTGCTTAATTTATAACTCATGCTACATTTATGAACATGAGTGTGCATGTATTCATTTAACTTCGTTGGATGATCAACAAATTATATTTTTACAGCATATGATAGGATGTACACTAATAAATTGTAACTATGCAGAATTGATTGTATGTTATTTATGATGTGCAAGATATATTTTTATACATAAACAATTGGGTTTATAGGGTTTAGAGTCAAACCCTATAAACCCAATCCCTTGCTTAAGTCATGGCAAATATATCTGTGTTTCTGCTGTATTTCTGCCTTATAATGTACAAAATTATACCAGTTTATTGTAGTATTTGGTCCTGGGTATTGACATCTGGACTATGTGGAAAGCCATATGAGGTGTAGCTTTTAAGATTGTAAAGGGAAGAAAATCTGTTGTACTTCATGCACCCCTGTTGTCATGACTGCAGTGCAGCAATGCCAGTTCCTTGGACTAGCAGTGGACATCACTACACCACTAATGCCCATGCAACTGGTAGTTCCACCTACATGCTTCCTACTCCAACCCATGAGTTTTTTAAGCACTTCTGCCTAGCCTGATTTTAAATTTAAGCTGATGTATGACAATTGGATTTGAAGACTAATTTCAGGTAATGACAACAGCTGAATTTTAACATTTTTAGTGGCTTTTGAAGAAATAAATACAGTAAGTAAACTAATGGTTATGTATCTTCTAGAGCTTTTCTTTAATGTTATTTTCCAGCTTCATAAATGCACTTTATTTTAAAAGGGAATCCAAGGCCCTTTAAAGTATCAGTTCTACTGGTGTTCTCTTATCAATACATGTTAAACGGGACATAAGTCAAACCGTTTTATTTGTCTGCAAATAAAAGGCTAATGCCCCCCAATCTGCTGAAAGTGCAGAGTCACACCGCATGCAGAAAGGATTCAATTAATATTACTGGAATCCACCCAGCTGCTGATTGACAGCTGGCTCTGCCTCTCTAGAGCCAGCTGTGCCATCCCCCCTGCTAGAGGAACAGAGAGAGGAGGGGAAAAGCCTGTTAGGGGTAGTGATTAACAGCCAGTGCTCCCTGCAGGGAGGAGACCATGAGCTGAGCAATCAGTTAAATGTCTGCTCAGCTCTTGGTATAGAACCAGTGTGTGACAGCTGAAGTGTCCCATTCCAGCTCTAAGTAAATAATGGTACATTGTTGTATGTAAATATTGTACATGTTTACATGTTTAAATGTTGTACATGTTTTATTCATTTACAATATTTACAGCATGAAGGTCTAAAGTATTAATGCATAGGAACAGTCTTATGTGAACATTACATCTGTGTGTTGTGTTGGCTCGTTAGGAGAGAGGTACAGCAATTGTGATGGACTGATCTTATCTTAATGTAAGTCTATGGGTCGGTTTAGAACCATAAGAACTAACAGAAAAAGAACTGCAGCCTTCAAGTGATGTATCATGTAAATTATTTTATTGCACTTATCTAGCGGTTCTTTAGCAAGGAACCTCAATTCACTCTGACATAAGTGCACTTTGATTAGGTGCACTAGCACCATGAACTGCCCCCAAAGCACATGGAGAGTTCTTGACCATTTGACACAGTACTTTATATTTTGGGTGCAGTTTTCAGCTAGACCATATTCCATGAAGATAAATAGGACCAAATGTAAAACAACTATGCATGCATCTTAATCGTGCATGGAGCTAACACATACCCTGCCCCTGGAAAATACATACAGAAATGGCACACTTGAAGATGCAAATCAAGAACAAATATGTTTTCAAATGCAAAAGCATGAATAAGCAAATACAGAAACTACAGAGTATTTGTAAAGCAGCATTGGGAATGCCATCAAAAAATATGGCATACTAAATATCAAACCTGACAGGCACATAAAAATAGTCTGAAATTTACTTTACATAATATAATGTAGTTCACTGTTAATACACTAAAGGTCTTGAAGCAAAGTTTAAACTTACCAAGATTATTTAAATCTGTGCCACTGTCATACAAGCCGTTTACAGAACTAAATACATTTGGCCATTCTGCCTTTAAAAAAGTCTTAAAAGCATGTTCCCTGTCCTTTGACAGTTGTGGTAACCAGCAATTATATATTGCTCTGACAATAGCTTGATCTTCTAACCACTGCTTCCAGTCTTCATCTGCATTCTCTTCTTGCTCTGAAATGCATCAAATTATATGTACTATTTAGTTTATGTCAAATGTTTTATTTATTTTTGCATTAACACCATAGCATACTACAAAAACAAGAATGGGTGGAGGAGAGACCATTTATAATTCTGGTATTTTTTCAAATCTTTTTACCAGGCTACCTCGCCAATCAGAGTGAAAGAGAAGGGTGTTTGCCAGAATCACAACTAAAATATTTTGGGCCTCAGCACCAAATATGACCCAAAAATGAACAATTAACAATACCTAGATTAAACACAACATTTTTATGCATTACACTAGACATTGGATCACAAAATACTTGCATGGGAAGGCTTCCCTGAATGAGTAGCAATCCAACCCTCTTGTGATCTGCAGTATTCTGAATAAGAGTGGGTCCAAGTGTGGGGTTGTGGAGGCATGAAAGGAAGAAATGCACAGATTTGCTTAGAGAAAGAAGATATGCATGCTCCTCTGTGTGGGTTCAGTGAGGAATCCTGTATAGTAGGTTTCTGTGGCACAGTCTTGTGAGTGCTATAAAACTACAGCTTCCTGGGAAGTCTATGTTGGTAGAGCACTTACAAAATATGCAATTCCCACAATGGCCCCGTGGCTGCAAGAAGCCTGATTAATGAAATCTATTTGGGGCAAAGTCTTCAGAGAACATGTTAAAATGCTGAGTGGCTTTATGCAAATTGATTTCCAATATGTTTGGTAAAAAGCATGGCTGATAACAGCAACAAGTCGGCTATAGCATCTAAACATACGTAAACGAATGCTTCTTTGTGACTATAGGGAAGATCACTATCCCCTAAAGTTGGACAAACAATAAGAAAAAATGCACTGGATATAATTTAAAAATCCATCAATAGTCATAGTTTTACAACTGCAAATTTGTGTTCAGTAAGTAACTGTGTCATATGTTGAAATTAAATACCGAAAGGATCCTTATAACAGCTTCTAGGCAGGTGAACAAATGTGCAGTTCTAAAAATGTCAGTCTCTAATTTAAAGGAACTGATTAACCTAATCTTTCATCTGACTAGGTTTAGTGGTGCAAATCTTCATCATTAATCCTTCCTCTGATATTAGCTCATGATGGACAGAAACACATCGAAGATATAGGATACCTGATGAAAAGAAGCTGAATACTCTCCTGAGCAGATCAGGGAGTGCACAGACCACAATTGAATGACATGTGTTAACCACGAAGGCAGAATGGTGCTTGCATACATCAGTAAAAAAATTATACAATTTAAAAAAATTGATTTGAGCAGTTACAATGACTGATTTGCGTTATAGCCTAGTTTAGTGAAACAAAATGGCATGCAGACTGCATCATACATCAAATTATACTATGTAAACGATCCATTTGTTGAGCCAATATCTGATCATATTTGATTAAGTTGGTCCTCTTGCTTCGTGGCAGCGTGATTTAACTAATGTACCTAGTGTCTCAAAATTTTAATTCAGCTAACACATCTTTCCAGCTAATTTCTGGATCACAAAGAAATTGGTCTGATTTCAAAATGTCAGAGTCTGGTTAGCAATTCAAATGGCAGCAGCAGTAATTATGGCTTTTCATATTCTGGCATGCTGCACTGCATCAAAATTGACACAAATTTTGGGTTTCCTAATATCAGAGTGAGGAAATTAGTATCCAAAACGATATGGAAATATACTGTTCAGAGTTTAATAACTGCTCTTCCAGAAAGAAAGATGGCTCTTTTCACTGGATCTATTAGTGTGTAATGGATCCCGGGGACGCCGCCGTTCCGACTCACGGAACCGAGTGGAAGCTCCGCCCCCGGGCCGTCGACGTCATACGAGACCGCCTCCGGCCTCGTCATAAGCCTTGATCTCCCACCTGTCTGGCGTTCCAGCAACCCAGCGTGGACGCCAGACGAGTGCCGGTCTCCTTGCCTACAGCCACACTCACCACAGCCTGCCTCAGTACTCACCACCCGAGATTGGACCCCGGCTGACAAACCCTGGGACACTCCGAGCTAGCGTGGCCAGGATCAAGCCACCCCGAACAGCAGGACGCCCAAACCGCAAGTATTCCCCTCTGGCTTGCCACCCACAGGGGATTTAACCTTTGCTGTAAGCTATCTGGGACTTGTACGTACTTTTGCATTGAAGATAAGGGAAGTCTTCCCCCTGCTGGTGGCTAATGAGATTGCATGCACTACTGAGATTATACTGTTTCTGTGGAACCACTTGTTACACCCCTGCTTGATGAACTGTGATATTACTTGGCTTTCATATGTGAAGTGAACATAGGAAGTTATAAAAATCAGGTCCATTGCTATATAAGTGATTGGGAACTCACGTATAGGGTTTGTGTGAATTGAACATACTCTCTTAAAGACGCTCATTGCTATGTGAAGTTAACATTAGTGAAGCGTAACACTCCCAACATCGTTCCTAGAGACTCCTCCTTATTTGCGCATTCCTTTATATTAATTACTTTAGGTGTAGCAAGCTTAGTTAGGTTGGAAGATAGATCAATGATGCACTGAGCTTGCTTGGCAATATCAAACCTTGCCATCACGTACTCCTGGGCTAGAGCACGTGATTGTAAACGTGTCTCCGCAGCTGAGCTCCATCTTCCTATTTAATAGATCATTACATAGTGCTTGTATGAAAGAAGAAGGAAAATAGTGGTGATGTATTCTCTCCTAGAACCAGCCAGCAGTGCATTATTACTCATGAGCTGTAATCACCTTTTTCAGCTCTATTCAGATGTATAGAGGAAGAGATGCATAAGGTGCACAGTGCTATCAGTGCTTTGAGACGCTGACTAAGGATCATGATAGATACTTCATACTAGGGGTTTGAGCACTGGCTGCCCAATGTATGCCTGACAGCACTACAAGAAGCTATCAAATTAAACTGTGGACATTTTTGCACATAGTTTACCATAATAAGATTTTACAATTGAAACATGTTTGGGAACAAAAATATTTCCAGGAACTTGTATAAAAATATAACCCTGGCTTTGTGCCCTTTCAGCATGACTGTACTGCAAGCCCAATTGCAAATCTAAGCTCATGACCCCTGGATACAGAACCTGAACGGTCTGTTTAAAAATTGCTAGATACCTTTTATAGCAGTAGAGTATGGGCAATGCATTTCTGACTTAGACAGTCCTGTACATCTTCACATTAGACAGTATCAGAGACCCAAAGATATTCATGGCATAATAACGAAAACCTGTACTGAGAGAATTTGGAGGTTGTCATGGTGATATCTACTAGTTGTCTAGATGTCATGCTGTCCAAGTCAATGGATTCCATACTTTCTGACTTAAAAGAGAAGGAACAGGTAAGCAAACTAGGAATTCTGCTTTCACTTTGACTTTCTAGTCATGATTGTCTGGGTCATCTAGGAGATAATTGAAGCTAGAGCTTGCCAGACAACCTGTAGTCATAAAAAGAGTTAAGCAATGGCAGCCCGTCTCCCATATTTCTCTCATCACAGGTTTTCTTTACATAACTGCACATTACAATGTCTCTGCTCCCATCAGTGAATATAACATTTAAGTACTGGGTAACTGAGCTCTCACATGACCAAGAGTACAACCTAATAAGCCCTTTATTTCAAGTATAAACTGGACAAATAAACACCATAAAACACAGATTTCTGACTAAAGGTCCCACATTTCAGAGAATTAATAAGTTGCCCATAGATGCACAGATGCGTTACCTAAAATAACTGCCCGTTCTTGAATTTGTAAGTAAGGGCCAGATTGGCAATTTATATCCAGTGATCCTTTTTTTAAGCAATTTCTTTCTAAGGAAATCATAGTTATTTTCTGTGGAATGGCTAACTATAATTTTACAGTGATTTGTAGATCAGTAGCTCAACAATTGAGTTTAAGTAGCGTTCCATGTCAGTGGCCAGCTTGCCAGCAACAATCACTCTGCATTCACCTCTATGGCTTAGCTACAAATCAAAAGAGAGCAATTTCTGGAAGAGCACAACCCAGTGGTGTATCACTACTTTAGTGCTACTAGTCTAGTGTAGCAGCAGCAAATTACCATTGACTCTAACTATTTAATCACTAGCTACGAATCCCTATTAATGGATGGCATTAGCAATTTGTAGCAGCAATTAATCGCTACTACAAAATCACCCATCTGACATAGGCAAAAGGAAGCAGAAAACTCATTTGAAAAAATGTTGTGTTAAAGCTGTGTGCTAACATTTGTTTCTTTATCCATTACCATAATTTAACCTTTACTTATTTTAGAGGGATCAAATAAGCATCAGGATTTGCAAACCCAGACTGCACTTTGCCTGGCTACTGACTAAAGCCCTTGTTCAGGGACCCAATACAGTCATATGGAAAAGTAAGTACACCCCATGGAAATTGTTTACTTTTTTAACATATGTCATATTTTAGATCCTTATTCAAAGATACCTATAGAAAATGTAGACATATATGAATACAAACCTAGGGAAAATGTGCCTTTCAATCATTTATTGTACAAAAATATTAATAGATGTAATAATGTACTGTTTAAAAAAGTAAGTCCACCCTTGACCTCAGAAGCTGGTATTGCCCCCATAGCAAACATGGCTTTTTGTAGGTATATTGCATAACTGCCCAACAGTCTTTATAGGTTTTCTTGCATTAACTTACCATTTTAATCCCCCATAATATTTTATTGTAATTTAATCATAAGGGTTAGTTCACACCATAAGCAGTGTGTTCCGATCCGATCCGATTTTCTGGGTCATCTAGGAGATAATTGAAGCTAGAGCTTGCAAGACAACGTGTAGTCATAAAAAGAGTTAAGCAATGGCAGCCCGTCTCCCATATTTCTTGCGGCCGGCTCACTTTCTTGCCGGGCTGGGGGGGGCGTGGCGGGGCCATTGAAGTGAATGGCACCGTAGCCATGCCCTCCAGCCGCAATGCGAATGACCGCAGAGGATCGCAAGGCACATTGTGCCTGCAGTGTGGTCCGGTGCGATCAAAATGCTGCAATGTGCCTTGCGATCCCGTGCGGCCGATCGCATTGCAGGCGGAGGGCGTGGCTATGGTGCCATTCACTTCAATGGCCCCGCCACGCCCCCTCCAGCCTGGCAAAAACGTGAGCAGGCCGCAATGCGAGGCAATGCGTTCCAGCCAGAATCGGACCGGAACGCACTGCTTATGGTGTGATCTAACCCTTAGCCTTCGTTACTTCTTTTTGAGCCACTCCTTGGTTGATTTGCTAGTGTTCTTAAACTCATTATCATCCACTTCCAGTTCAACTTAAATAGCAACAAAATACTCAGATCTCCAGTACCAATGGTACTCAAACCCACAAAAGTCTCGCCACACATTTATGAAAAATTGTCACAATTTTATTGTACTTCATAATTAAACCAATGTTTTTAGGAAAGGGGGTTTTTGTTATGTTTGTCATATTTTGATTTAATTATGATGTACAATAAAATTGTGACAATTTTTCATATATGTGGGGCAAGACTTTTGTGGGTTTGAGAACCACTAATACTGGAGGTCTGAAGATTTTATTTCTATTCATATCTACCAAACAGTGGACCATTACCACGCATTTCTCTTGAATTATTATATCCATGAATGGCATCCAATTTTTAGACTCTCTCAGGAGTGTATACATTTAGACAATACTAATGACACCCAGTAGGGTGAAGGTCGCACTAAGTGTGCTATGCTATTTTTTTGCATGTACGTCAATAAATAGACTATTCTATTTGCTGTTGGAGTGCCGGTGTCCATATTCTTTTGTATCACTGTGACGGTGGCCATCCGTCGACTACCTTGCACCCATGTTACGTTGATGGATGAGCGGTCAGGAGTGCAATAGGTACATGGACTGTAACCTGGTATTTGGTAGGAGACACAGTTGAGACCTCCTTGCCTATTTACATTCAATTTAAACTTTTGGACAGATGAGCCATTCTCATTAAGCACGCTTATGATGATATGATAAGGTAGAATTTATAGATGACTTGACGACTGCAAGTTGCCAAGACCCTGAAACAGCAAAGCAACCCTAAACCATAAAATTTCCATGTCCATGACTTAAAATGCTGTCCTCATTTTGTGTTGCGCATGTCTACTGCTACTGTAGTCCTTAGCTTAGTGAATGTGTAGAAAATTCACTTTAAAAAGAATACCCAATCATGTGCAAGGAAACAAAAAACAGTATTTTTGCTTGCACATAATTGGATGATGGAGAAAAGCAGAGTTTTACTGAATTTACTAAGCTAAGGGGAAATTCCCTCGAAAAGTGAAAATCCCCTCCAAAGTGAACAGCATATTTGCCTTTAGCAAATAATCCCTTGTGTGCTTTCTGGGTCTGTTTGGAACCTTCTTCCAGCTGTTAGCAGGGAAAGGGGCATTAGTATAACATGAGAAATATGCAAAGATGTCTGCATTGCCAACACAGGCCGTGGCCTAAGGAAGCATGTTTACCTTAGGCATAGCCACCCACACATTATGTTGCTGATTTGGTCTGTACACTTAAATCCAAACTAATAGCAGAATAGGATTCAATTTGCCTTATTCTTTGAGTTCTAGGTATACTGACACAGAGTGGAAAAACTGTCTATCACCATCTCTGCCAACAGCCTTGACATGCCTTGTGTGGCTAAGAGATCTAACTATGTCACTGTGGTACTTAGTCTATCCTGTCACTGGAGTAGGAGGGGAGATGCATTAAACAGTGGGCCTAAAGGAGAAAGAAATATAATAACGAATATATGTACAAAACCACTACACATTCAGATTAAAGGAGAACTATGGGGTTAGGGCTTTTCCTTTGCCAAACTAGTATCAAGAAAAAAAAATAGAACATTACATGATCACAATGTGAATTCCACCTAATGCTCATTTTACAGCATATAATCTTCTTATTCTTTTCCTAATATGGTTTATTTTTATACTTGAAGGAATGATTCAAGAATAAGATGTATTCATGGAAGAGTTCGGAATGTATGTTTCTTTATATGTTTTTACTTTTATATCCTATTCTCTAACAACTACCACAGAACTCCAAGTCATACTAATCACCTGCCAAGCTTTTGGTCCAGCCCTATTCATTCTATTCAAAGGAAATAAACACATATAGAAACATTTAGACAAGAAATTGTTTTTGGCTCCAAGGAAGAGTGGTTTGTGATTCATTGCCAGTAAAGAACAATTTATCAGAGAATAAAATAATGTAGCAATGTGTCAGCTGCTAAAATATACTCTACTGTCATAAGGAAGAAGCTAAGCGGGCAGCCTGTAATACAAATATATGACATACAAAAGATCTTTAATGCTTTGCTATGTCATCTTAACGATGCAGGCAAGAAACTATAAACAAAGTACAAATTTATATTTAAGTCAAGTGGCTACAAATGGAACGTACGGCAGTATTTCTTTATCTGCAGAAAATATTACATTGATGTAGGCATCCACCTGTAAATCACTGTGCCAAATGCAGTTGTTTCAATGATATGATTGAGAAGGATGCTGTTTGTGCAGATTGTTTTTTATATTCTTTCTACCTGCATCTCATATACATGGGCCCTTATACAGCACAATGTGCACAAATGGTGCTTCTGCCTCTGACTGCATCCTCTGACTGCATTAACAAACCCATAATATAACCAACTGACTAAGTAAGAAATAATATGCATAGTAGTTAAGCTGATTTTTATAAGTGATATACTGCTGCATGTGGGGTTAGATCAGTTCCTATTCAACCTGACATTTGGTATGTAGAACAAGTGTTTTTAGGTGCCTATAGAGTCATTTTGTTTATGCATTATTTGGGTTTTGTATTAGGCCTCATTCACACAAGAAACGGCCGGCACGTACAGCTCCGTCCTGCATGCATGGCCTTATCGGCAGCTCCCGGGAAGGACAGGTGATATGTGTGATTAGTACGCAGCCCCTGTCTTTCTCTATGGGAGTATGCGGGCGTACGTTGCCCTACGCTCACCCACCCTGCAAGTCCGTGCAGGTGCGGATGTCCGTACTCGTACGCTGACAGGATGCTTCCGTATCCCACCCGCATCCGTACGGACCTGCACTTGGGGTCAGCATAGGGCGGCGTATGGCCGCGTACTTCCATAGAGAAAGACAGTGGCTGCGTATTAATCACACGCAGCACCTGTCCTACCCGGGAGCTGCCCAATACGGCCGTGCACACAGCACAGAGCTGTATGTGCCGGCCGTTTCTCGTGTGAATGAGGCCTTAATGTTCTGTTTTCCTTGTTTTGTATATTTCATCATTATTGTTGTACTGTTACTTTAAATGTTTTATTGTACTTTTTTTGCAGTGTCTGTTTTGACCTTTCTGTAAAGCAAAAAAAAGATGTAAAAAAGAGGGGCTATTTTTTGGCACAGATCAAGGATATTTGAATACAACCTGGAGCAATTTAAACTTCACTGCATCCTTAAAAACCATCAAAAACTACTTTGATTTTGCCTTCCATATTTATTCCATTGCATTCTGCCAATATGCCAGGGGCATGAAAAATCTAAATGTTGCTAATCCCCAGTGAAGACATGCTTTTTCAAGAACCACTATTTTTATTTTCTATTGCTGTTAAAAGATCAAAAGGAGGCAAACAAACTGTATGTGGGTGGTCAGTGGACAAAGGCAGTCAAAAGGGGAAGATGAATGCTGATAGGATATAAAGCATGGCAATAGCACATCCAAATACAATTGGTGATCTACACAATTTTGGAGACACAAATGAGCAACGGAACCCTAGATCTTTACTAGAAAATGCATTTTTTTGCTTACATAGGGACATATTTATAAAACAGTAATTGTGACATTCACCAAACATTTGCTGCAGGTGAATAAATCACTAAAACACAAGCACCAGGAAGATACAACCGCAGTGAATGTTTGGTGAATGCTTTATAAATATACCCCTTAATGTCACCACGGAACGTAAAGCAGGAGGAATGTTATCAGGAGCTATGTTGATGCTTTCCTTGAATATGAGGTGCTATGTCCACTATCATCAGTTAATAAAATTTGCAAAAGAACACAGTGAATGAACATATTGAGTGCGGATCACAATATTAGTTGGATGTTATGGTTAACTAGTAAATGAGCACTTTAGTAGGGATAGTACCATATGGGGATTGTACAGGCGACACCTCTTTGCCTCTTATATTACATTTACCAACCCTAATAGACAATGTTTACCTTGGCATTCACTCCGTTTTTTTAGGAGAAATTGAAGAATGTTGCTCGCCTCATCAAGTAGACTGTTGAGTTCTTTTACTGAAGAGCCACTAAATTTCCCTTAATACCAAAGGAAATAACAAAAAAAGAAAAACAATTATTAAAGAGTAAAAACAAACCCACAGCATGCAAATAAATCACATTCAAATGTAATTAAAAATGGTGCCTAAATAAATCACATTCAAAATAGTGACTACCATTTTTAGAGGATCCAGATCCTAAGAGATCTGCAGTGTGCAGCTTTGCAAATGATTCCAATATGGTGGAGAGCTTTTTTGCCAGGTAAGCAACATGGGAAAATCCTTGAAAACAAAATAAACATTTATATTAACATATTTATTGAAGAACACCTTCAACAATCAAGAATACTTCTGCTAATGCAGAAAAAGTCAAAACATTCACTAAATGAGTTTTATAGAATGAACAACAGCCTAATTTAGCATGCTTTTCATGTAGCTTTTGGAGTGTGTGGGGTGGGGGACTGAAACCTCTTGTTACAAGACTATGTGCTATACAACCTCCTTTTTTAGGAACTACAGATGTAGTGCTTGGAAACATTTATCGCTCTGTCTGCATTAATACAGGCTCAGTCAGAAGTGAAGAAATAAGTAAGCAAATACGTGAACAGCTCTACAAACCCACGTAGCTGGCAGGCTGTGTCTAGAGTGAGTTTAGAGCTGAACTCCTCACAAACCAATAAATACACAGTATGGGAGCTGTTTAACCTGCCAAAGTACTTGTATTTCTGTCCTTCCAATCCTGAGATTTATACAGCAGGGCTCTGTGAGTTAACATTCACAGATATCCACCCAGCACTGTAATTGGACAGTGACGAAGAAGAAGCAAACGAATGAGCTCATCCCTTTGTCACTCTGCATTTCCTTGTTATCACATGAGCATTGTCTCCTTCTGCTGATTCTTACTCTCCAAGTCTGAGCTCTGCTATACATGGGAATTGTAAAGGCTGATACCAGTTCAAATTCAGCAACTACACTGCTGGAATTTAAAATTAATACATTTAGTGATGTTATAATTATTAAAGAGCAAAACTACAACACACAAATATATTTTATATGAAACTCTTTATTTAAAACACTTAAAGTTGAACTTCGGGCACAAAAATATAATTTAAAAATGTTCCTCAGTAGCCACTAAGGTTATAAATCCACGTTATGTGAACCAAATGCCTTTTCAAACTCCATTATTACCATGCAAAAGTAGCAGTGACATCATCACTGTGCTGCACTTAGCCAGTGCCGAGAACATAGCTGTGGGAGGACCCAGCAGCACCAACCACTATCATTATTATACAGCATTTATATAGCATCAACAGTTTGCAGTTTGCACAGTGCTTTACAATGTAAGGAAGAATGTACAGTTACAATGCAATTTCAATGTCGAGGTGGCATAGGCTTCCCTGAAGAGATGAGTTTTCAATGATCTCCTAAATGCAGACAGAGTAGGAGATAAGTGGACAGATTGGGATAGGGAATTCCAGAGGATGGAAGAGGCTCTGGAGAAGTCCTGGAGGTGATCATGGGAAGAGGTGACAAAGGAGCTGGAGAGCAGGAGGTCTTGAGAGGAGCAGAGGATGGATTAAGTGATATTTTGAGATTGGTGATATAGTTTGGCGTAGAGGTGTAGATGGTTTTCTATGTTATTGTTAGTATTTTTAATTTTATTTGTTGGGCAAGTGGGAGCCAGTGGGGGAGATTGGCAGGGAGGGGCCGCAGACACTGAATGGTTGGTAAGGTGGATGGGTCTGGCAGCAGAATGCATGATAGGGAGTGTAGCCTGTGTAGTGGTAGCCCAACAAGGAGGGAGTTACAGCAGTCGAGGCGAGAGATTACAAGGGAGTGAATTAGAAGCTGTCTGGTGTCATTTGTTAAAAAGGGGAGAATTTTGGGAATGTTACTGAAGTTGAGTCGGTAACATTTGGATAGTCATTTGATGTGGGGCTGCAAGGAGAGATCAGAACTACAGGCTGCCTGCAGGAAACTACAGGAGGGGGCAGATACAAGCCCAGTCACTCTGCACAAGGAGAGAGAGCAGCAATGACTGGTCTTTATCACAGGAAGCTCCTGCACAGACAAAGTTTCATGCTGGGTTACAGCACAGATCTGGAAGAAATACATAAAACACATCAATAAGAAAGAAGTAAGAATTCACTTGTGTTTTGTATTAAGACAAAATATTTGCTTATCCCAGACACTGAACTGAACCGTGTTTACTAAATAAAACATATAGGTGTTTTTTACAGTAGTCATTGAGATTCCAGGTGTCATAGTCCTCCTGATTTTAAAACAAAAACCTCTGTTTGGTTAATAGGCAACATTTACCCTTTTATTCATTTACAGCATTATTCAGGGAATGTTGTTAAACAAAAATTCTAAAACTACTAGTGATTAGCAGTCAATATTGGCTTCTAAATCCTTATCTATGTATATTTTCTAGACCAGTATAAAAATCATTACAGCAGTAGAGAGATACTTCCTATCTGCTGTGCTCTGTAGCCCAGTCAAAATAGTACTTTATATGTGGAGAGACAGAGAGAATCTGATCAGAGCAGAACACAACTATAAACAAACATCTCTCAAAACATGTCTGATTAATGTTGTACAAACAATGTGAATCAATTTTCACTTGAAGGAATAGTCCAAATTATAATAATTACCCATATTTGAAGACTAATTATTTTATCTCATCCGGGCCAAGAACATAGCACATTTGCTAATAGAGTTTTGAAGATTTATGAATGTTTGCCAAGATGAGCTTCCTATCACAGAAAGACGCTAAAAGCTCTAGCCTGTATTAGTGGAATTGATGTGTCTGCACATTTTCTACAGGTGAAAATTAAAAGCCCTGATAAGGTCTTTCCAAGCTTTTAAATGGTTCTACATTATATAATATCTGATGCACTAATAAATGGATGAGAGTTCTGCATAATTAATGTGCACATAGATTTATCGTAATTCATAAAACTGATACGATAAAAAGATAATACCTGAATTATTATCTGTGTTTCTATTACCTGTATTCCAAGCATTTGCTGTTAATTATACATTTGCACTTATTGAACATTTGAGTTATCAGATTAAATGGTCTAAACAAAGCTGTAGCGTTCTGAAAGTTAATGGCCTGTGCTAATAAAAATAAATTAAGTAGCAACAATCATTCTGAATATGACTGAAGATATATATCATCTTCTTTGTTTGCATTATTTCTCATCAGTCATTGTTTCTAATGAAATCTACGTTAAAGGAGATCTATGAAGTGAGTCATTTCCACTCATCCTCATAGTTAGAGCCGACCTGTGACAAAGAAGCTGTCACAGGTTGGCTCTATCAATCGGGAAGTGAGCAGAAACGTGCACCGATCTGCTCACTTCTCAATCGTTTCCCTGCAGAGAGCAGTGACTGTCAGTCACGGCTCCTTGCAGGGATTCTCCCCTCTCTGATCCTCCAGCACTGAGTGGAGGAACAAGCGGGGGAGGGCACAGCTGGCTCTGCCTCTAGATAGACAGAGCCAGCTGTCATTCACACAGCTGGGTGGATCTCGACAGTAATGTCGGGATCCATCCCGGCTGCACCGCTCAGAGTCTATCACGGGCAATAGCCCACGATATACTGAGCTTTGGGTCACGGGAGTACGCTAGTTTATGTCCTCCCGTGATCCTAAAGAGAACTATGGGGAAAAACACTTACCCCATAGTTCTCTTTTAATATGAACGCTGCATTATAGTTCTGATTTTTTATTTATTCAAAGTGTACTTTCCATGGAGGTGAAACTTCCAAACACATATGTTTAAAGGAACATAGACAGATTTTTGCCTAAACTCATGTATTATACATGGCAAGTAACACTACATTTAGGTAGTGGTCATCCTCTCCTCTACAATACCATTCTTTAAATGCCCCAGTCAAGATCCTACTGACATGACCAACTGAATTATGTGACCATGGGAGAAATACTCAATTAAAGTTTAGATCACCCTCCTCCTAATTCAATAATTAGGTATTTTAAACTTTACGTTTTTTATTGGTTTTATATGCATATAAAGCATCACATTGTACACTCAGGAATCAACAAGCAGATACATCATTACCTATCAAACCAAACATAAAGCAAGCATGTCATCTGAAGTTCCATTGACATTCTATCAGCTAGCAGGTATTCACTTGTACATCGAGGTTGATGATAGTACATGAATAGTAAATTATATTGTATAGTCGCTAGGCATATAGTACAGTAAAACAAAAAGAAAACAAGACAAACGAAAATATTCAATCTGAAACCAAAATCCAGGATTAACAATAGTGAAAGCATCCTATATAACGATATGCCATATAAGGAAAGGGGCAGGTGGTGGTCTATTCAGGTTTGTGTATATAAGAACCAGTCCTTTCATTTATTATAAAATTGAATAAGTAGGTATTTTAAGGAGCAAAAAAATGCATACAAATGCCTTAACTATTAACAATAATGTAACTTATTTGGGTATCACTAAGCTTCAGACCCTCAAATCATCTCTAAATTCATGCTGACACTGTCCTTCCTTCTGGAGGGTGGCTACTTTTGTTCCCCATGGTCCCTGTGTGTGTTGTAAAGTACCCACCACTCCCAGTTTGCTCCCATGATCGACTACAATCTCAATACAAAGTAGTAAATTAAACGTGAGATTGTAGTCCATTGGAATGAGCTTGGGGAGGTGGCCACTTGATAACACACACAGAGACCATGGGGATCAAGTTGCCACCCTTCAGAAGGAAGGACAGTGTCAGCACCAATTCAGAGATGATTTGAGGATCTACAGCTGAATGATATACAAATAGCAACATTTTTGTTAATAGTTAGGGTACTTGAATGGATGTTTAGGATTTTACTCCTGAGTCTAGTGTCACTTTAAGGATAAAGGCATCCTAAAAGTGTGTAAGTAGACCTAGATATTTTTTTCTAGCAATCGGATGAGAGAGTTTTGAAGGTGCCCATTACTAAAAAAAAAAAAAAAGGCACTTACAGTCTTGTTACTGACTGAGTCTACTCTTCTCACAAAGAAGTAAAGAAATGCACAAAACTGGAAAAAGTTACAAATACATTTCCAAAGGCTTGGATACTCAGTAAAATAAATTGGTCACAAAAAGAATGAAAAGAATGAATATATGACTTTTACTTTGCATACTAAGAGTGAGCAAGCTACAGAAATAAGAAGAGTGCAGTGTGTAATGTTTAGGGAGATGGGAAAGAATAGTAGGATAATAGCCCAGGACATGTAGAAATCTTTTGAACTTGTCCAGAAGTATCTGTTTGCATACAAAATACACAAGAATGGTGATCATAGAAGGACACCACAATGGATTTGTAATTGTATCAATACATTCCATAGAAGTATATTAAGGGTAGCTGTTCTTTAGCCGAAGCCTAATAGAAGTTTAGTGATGCCACAAAACAATTGCCTGAAACACTGGAGTAAATGAATGATAGAATTGCTTAAACTGAAGGCGTTCATATTCTGCAATGGTCCACTTAGAGTTCAGACCTCTGAACTCCAAAATTACACCTCGCCATTGTGAAATTCTGTTGAGCAACTGCAGGAAATGTATGGCAGGTGGTTATTGCTGCTAAATGAATTTGCCATTTCTGAAAAAAGTGCTTCACTAATTGTTGTCTAAACCAGAAATGGTGAAAGCATGTGTTCAATGTAGTTCAGTTGTTTATTTTATTAGTTTAAGCATCTACATCAGGGGTAGGCAATCTCCAGCCCTCCAACTGTGATGCAAGTAAAAATCCCATTAGGTATTGCAAGTGTCGGACATTTTTTGGCTTTAGTCCTCTTTTGGGTCACAAAGTTAGCATCTAGCACACTACTGCCCACTATTTGCTGACAGTGCAGAGCTGCGCTGCAGCTGGGAAATATCCCAGCAATATTGTCAGGATCCATCCTGCTGCCTGAATAACCGCTGGTTCTGCCTTTCTAGATCCAGAGCCAGCTATGCCCACTCCCTCCCCTGTCTGTCCTTCCAATGAACACTGGAGGAACAGAGAGGGGAGGGGGGAATCCCTGTGGGAGCGCTCTCTAACAGTTATTGCACTATACAGGAAGAAAACTGTGAGCTGACTGATCAGGAGTTTGTGATCGAACGCAGTTCACAATCTATAGAGCCAGTGGGAGACACTGCAGGTGTCACACGCCAGCTCCAAGTATTGGAAAGAGTACATTTTACTTTCCCAATACTTCTCCTCTAAGCTATGTAAGATCTATTTCCTTCTTCCATTAGGTATTACACAAAGCATTTCCCTAGATCTAATCAAAGAATGGCAACAAGGAGCGATGGATAATTATCACAACCTACAAAAGATAGTATGGATTTTAGCAGAAAAACTAAATAAAATGAGACTAGAGTACAATTGTAAAAAGTTTATGCTTTTAGAAATAATGTTGATAAGCATGATATTTATATTGGCCTCACTGGCCAATAAAGGCACTCACTGGTTTATAGGACAGCAGAGGCATGGCAAGCTCCAATCTGGAGCTGAATTTGAGATATTTAGTGGAATAGAGTTTGAGAATCATAACGAACTTCAGATGCATCGGTAGTTTGTTTATTAATACACATATCAGTAATACAAGTGGACGAGTTATTTTAAAATATAATAAGGCATCTAACCAAAGGTCTGTACTTTATACTGTAAGCAAACACTGAAAATGACACTTACTAAGGCATAAATATTCCATACACTAGATTATATTATTTAAAATATGTCACCTGCAGGCCTAGATTTGAGGACCCAGGACCATCCTGACAAAAATAGAGAGAGAGAGAAAAAGAGATCCAATATAGATACAAATGGGCAAATAAGTTTACTGGTCAACGTTTCAACAAGGCACTGCTTGTCTTTCTTGAGAAAGTCTTGAGATAGGCAAGCAGTGCCTTGTCAAAATGTTGACTATATTTTTTTATATATTTTTAGTGAATTTAGACACCAAGACACCAAAAGATGTTTCCCGTAGAGATTACTGTAGGTTATGTTAAAAGGGGATCAGAAGATGACTTAAATCACATGGCCATAGATCTGTGGGATCACCAAGGGTCAGCATAGGAAAAGTTGTGGATATTTATGAAAATCCAAATGTTACTTTATGTAAATATTATAACAACAACAATACTTTCTATATTCCAGACCTTTACAACATCAACAATTAACTATAAACAGTCAGATTTGTATTTAAACTCACTATGGGCACATACCCTACTGAGCAGCCCCTCAATTTCCTTCTGGTATTTATCTTGTGCAGCTGGTTGCCCTACATACTAAATCCCTATGGTTGCCAGTACAGTATTGTTACATTGCAAACTGGTCTGAATTCAAAGCTGTACAAAATGTAGGGCATTGTTTTCCCTTATTCTGGGGGTTGCACTTTGTAGTTTTCAGAAGAGAGAGATTGAACATGTGACAAGATGCTACATCCTCACTGGAAAGCCCTGTGAAAACCCTGCTGAATATGGCTGCAATAGAGTATGTAAAACACACATAAAGGTAAACTTTCTTACATTTCTAATGTTTGCTGAATATCAGTAATGGAACACATTTTTATACAGTGGATAATAGGCAGAACCTCTGTCAGGCTTTATTGTGGTCTTCAAGATACTTTCCAGGTCTTCCAGGAGGTTCTCTCACACTTCCTGTTGATGCAACTTTGGTTACCAGGAAGTGAAGGAGAATTTATCAATTGAAGACTTAGATAACAGTATAAAAGGGTTCAAGCCCTTTTCTAGTCCATTCAACAATATTTTACCTGGTGTTGTTCTGTAAAATGTTTATGATAAAGGTGTAAACCTTTATCATAAACTGAATACCCTTTAAGTTATTTATGCAATGTATACACTATGGCTGTCATTGCTGTCAGTGCAATGTAAAAACAGCAGCTTGAACACTGTGGGTTCTCCATCCCCTGGCTTGGAATGCCCTCTCCAATAAACACATTAGAGACACATTTACACATTATCTTAGCTTCCTACACTGTCATCCATCTGCTCTGGTGGCTGGAAGCCTGTTTGCTGTCTCCGAATGCCAAACAACATTTTTTTTTCTCTCCTGCACAAGTGGAAGCATGAAGTCCACTATAAATCTCAAATGTCTGTTCTTATGTACTGTACATGTTACATGTTCATCATAATATCAACAACATAAGGCTTATTCTCTGACTTCATAAACATACATAATAAAACAGAATAAACTGAAACAAACTCTATATTTTAAACTAAACTGGATGTGAGACTAAACAGAATACATCACTACATGGCAGTTATAAAACAGATACAATTATAATTAGAAATTTACTTTTATATAAGATCAGCTAAGCTTTGAGGCTGCATTCTGTAAAACTTGTTGAGCATACTAAATGATTTATTTTTAACCCTTTTCTATTCCATGGTCTCTTAAAATTTGCAACCAAACAAAATACTTTTTTTATGACATCATCTTTTATCTTCTTCTTTACAGTAAGAAACACTGTGGTTGATTTACTAATAAAAAATGGGCTGAAAATCTCGGCTTATACTCGAGTATATACGGTAGGCTGTTCACTTTGCAAGGGCATTTCCCTTTAGCTTAGTGAATCAGTGAAGATCAGCTGACTTCCATCATCCAATCATGTGTCAGCAAAAATACTGGGGGGTTTTTCATTTTCCCTGCACGTAATTGGGTATTCTTTGGGAACTGAATCTTCACCACATTTACTAAGTAAAAGGTAAATTCGCCTGCTAAATATACTTAAATACTTTTTTTAGTTTTGGAAAGTGAAGTGATGGGTTAGACTGGAGTCAGGTTTTTATCAACTTCTATTAAGTGAAATGCAAGAAGGTTTTTTAGGGAAATTGGAATGCCATGCCTATTCATTTTTAGTGCAGGAGGTAGAGCCTTCTCCATGGTGCTGTACATGCAAGTAAAATAGGCCATGTTCCTTCTGAAAATGCTAGTTGCCTAGCTAAGTTTAGTAGTTTCCAAGTATGTGACCTGGAATAAGCATGAGGATTAGGAAAGTCATAGTCAAGTCAGATCTTCTGATCTGCATACCATCAAATCAGAAAGAAAGGCAGTTTTGTTTTTTCGTAAGGAAAGCTCAGCAATTGCAGCTTTCATAGCTCTCAGTACAGGATTTTAAGGGGTTTATATGTTTTACTTCTAATATTTAGGCACTAAATACCTCTAAAAAGTAACTGTGCTTCAAGAATGTAGTTGATGGAACATTTGCGAACTCCAACTATCCGAAAGCAATTCAGGAGGCTGTCAGGAAGTTTATATGGCTCTGGGCCAATAGGTGACCTAAAGAAAATTAAATAATGTAAATTCCAAATATATGAAAGTAGAAAGTACACTAAATACAGAAAATACAGTAGCTGCATAATTCAAAATACATCCCAAAGGAACAATATAGGGGAAACCCCACACTCAAACTCTATGGTACCAGAAACCAACTTAACCATGTATGTTCCTTTGTGACAGTAATAAGGGCAACTGTAACAAGCCAAAAGTTAAAAATTTAATAAAATACTAAAAAAGAATCAAGCAACTGTAACACAAACAAACACAGTATTGATGATGAAGAAAAATCTCTGTTGGCTTTATTTAATGCTTTTCTTGTCTCCACTGAATATTACCACTCAATCCCTGTCCCATTGACAACTTTGTAACCGGAACAAGATAAAAAAAACTGACATACAGTAGATTCTAACCCATCCCAATTCTAACCCATGCCATCCTACTTTAAAACATCCTACTCTATTCTAAAACAAAGAACATGTTCTGGTTAGCACTTCCCTTTAAGTGTAGATGCGTTTTTTGAATAAAGGTTTCAACTTTTACATTTAATAGGAATTTTGTAAGTTGGATTGAGTTTGTATGAGATTATAACAATTTTAATGTATTTAATAAGGGACAATATACAGTAATGATTTTGGTCAATTGTACTGTACTTTAAAAAAGTGTACAATTTGATAGTATATATTTAAGAAATATCTTTATTTCACAAAAATATGCACTGCATACATGACACCTTACAAAACATGCAGCACTTTCTTATAAGAAATTCTAACACTATCTACCTGCTTGTTGGCAGCCACAGTAAACTGACAAATGTAGCCAGCCTCCTCTCTGCTATCAAAGCGGGGTGTCCCTCTTTGGACTCAATGCCTGTATATGCATATGTCATCTAAACTCATTCAAAATTAATTAATTTGGTCAATGGATAATTTACTCCACAGTACCTACAGCTTCAGAGGCCAGTGATGGCTTGTTTAAAGCACTTTTACTGCTTCTAAAGAGTGTGTAAATACTTTAATGTCCATAGTCTGGACACAGATGCACGCTTGTGAAGAAGACAGGAGGGAAAAAAGTTGTGACTACCACTCGGCAAATTGCATTTTTTTTGTTTAACCTATTTCCATACATATTCGCCTGATATTAACCAGATATCTGCCAGATTAACGTAATTTAGCAATTTAAATAATTCCTGAATTAATTGGGGACACAGGATTCAGATACTGTGATATGATTGGGTTATACTGCTGCCGACACAGGAAGTTGGACATTGGCAAACAAAAAAGCTGTAGGTCAGTGAGGTATATACTCCCACTCTGTGTGCTTTAATGAACTTCATGATATGTATTTTTTGGAAGGTAAAAAAAAATCCTGTTTTCTTTATCATTCATTAGAGACACAGTATTCTGTTATTCTGATATGATGGGGTTGTCCAAATGCAGTCCAACTGAGTGGGCAACACAGCAAATTAAAATGTTAACAGGCTTATATAAACAGAATAGAACTAGGGGCAGTCTGCAGCTGAAAGAGCTGTCTGAAGAACCTTACACCTAGAGCTGGCTTTAGATGAGGCTTGAACATTCACCTTATAAAACTTAAAAACCATATGAACAGAGGGACTCGCAGACCTTGTAGAGTGTGCCTTGACAGAAAAAGGTGAACCTTGTCCTTAAAACCATAGGCTTGAACAATGATCTGTCTGAATATGGAGAAAAGAGAAGCTGTTTCCCCTTTACAGGGACCATCAAGAAGCAGGAGAGGTTAATGGCTAGAAGTGACCAGTTATCTGTAGGTTGCAGCAAGGACTAAGCAAGAAAATCAGCATAAAGAGTAAGCGTAATTGTTACCAATTAGTCTAGTAGCTCTCGATGCCCAGGCCAAATAGCATACTCAATAAAAGCGTTCAGAGACTGGGGCACACTAAAGGCTGTGCCATGATTCTGGGCTAGAAATGAGCTTTGGTATTGGTCAGGTTTGCCACTCAGTTTCCTGACCAGTCAGATTGCATGCACAAATAATAATCTGGTATTGATTTTGAGAGGGTTTGTATGCCAAATTTAATTTTTATTGGGTCCACCATAAAAATCCATACCAGACCCTTATGTAGGATATGGATATGGTATGAATTTGTAAGGAGCACACCACACTGTTTTTTTTTGTTACTTCTCCAGGACATGTGGCCTGAAATGTTTCAGAAGGGGAAGGACTCAGCTTACCACTTGGCCTTGAAAAAGAGCAGAAAATAATTACAAGATTTGGCTCCCATTCAGTGAGGTTGTACAGGGTCTACAAACCGTGTAAGTGTTCGCCAAATGTAAAGCAAACTGGCTCACTGATCACTACTCTGGACCTGGAAAGCAAACTGTGGCTAACTAATGAAGTGCCCAGGTCTGGGAAGCACCACTGGCAGAGGCCAGTGCCCAAAGGCCACAATCCAGGCAAGCCCCGCAAACTTTGGTCTAGCGGGGTCTGGGTACCAGCTCCAAGGCATCAACTAGAATTAACCAATATGGATAGCAGCATAAACAGCCCATCTCAACAGCATGTAGATTATTGGTTGTCAACGTTGAAGGTATAGGGGGCCTTAAAATGCGGCCCCTGATGTCTCCTAAGGGATGCATATAATTTAGTTTTTTAATGCTACAGAAGACTGTCATTAAGTGGTTGGAGACTGAAGTCATGTTTTAGGAGGCAGAGACTGGGAACAGTGAAACTGCTAGAGATTATCTTTTTAAGACCCCTTTACAAATCAATGCTCCCAATACCAGCTTCTGTAGTCTAAGTGCTGCACTTTAAACACCAATGGGATTGAGGTTGGGCACCAGGTATGTAAAAAATGTCTTGATCGAAAAAAAACTTTCTGGAGAAAAAATAAAATGGCTAGTAAAAATTGGTATACTTTCCTCAATAGAGAAAAGAGGTCCATCCTCATAAGACATTAGCAAAAGAACTGAAGCATGCTGGCAGAAGAAGAGGTTATACCTGGCTGGCTAACAGCTTTTGTGACTGCCAGTGTCCAAAATCTTCTTGTAGGCTGCAGTGTAACCTAATTATATCAGAATAACCCGAATGATGTGTCCTTGAATGAGGGATACAAAGCCATTTTGAAGCATAACAACAAGATAAGAATATTTTTTTACAAAGACCTCTTAGTTTAAAAAGAATATACTAAACTATTAAAGCTATCATTATAAGTTAGTAGTGATTGCCAAACGCCTGCTTTTGTGATGATTGGGAAGCAAGTGAAATCAATCATAACAAATAGCTCAATTGTAAGTCAAAATTAAGCTTTTTAACCTTTTAATGATTGCAATGCATAAGCCTGTTGTGTTTAAAGGGATGTCTTCCAAATGTAAAGTGACTGTTTCTTTCCCAAGATGCTTAGCTGTCTGTATCTGTGTAAGCATCTGAGTTATCAAAGAAAGCCTGGGTTGAGATAATTGTTCCAATCCATTCAGGCAGACCCAAGCTCCTGAAGAATAAAAAATATAAATATAGTTAAAAAAATTACCAATTGTTCCAGATAGGGAAACTGTCTTACAAACCAATATCTTATCATTTTAATTTAACACACTTCAGTGGGGGCCACTGATGGTAAAAACACACATCATCAAACATTTCTAGTTTAGGAGCGTTATAGGTGTAAAAATACAAAGAAATAGGCAAAATACACTTTGAAAAGTCTTTGAAAGATAACTAACATTAAATATTCTACTTTCTACCCTACTTTAATCAATGATAAATTCCGTATAATTTGAACCCACAGAGAAATAGTAGACTGTTAGATGTGCATTATGGTTCCTCTGTCTGCATTACTAGAAAGGAGTACATGAGACTGATCTATTTATTCAAGCAATCAGCCAATTAAACTACTATGGCAACCCAGAATGTTTTAAACGCCATTACCTAGGTTTATAGTCAATTGAACTGTGTAAAGTACTTGTTTGACCACTGTACAGAAACTCTATGTTTAGGAAATCAAACTAACAGTTCTTAGCCTGTACGTGTGAACCTGAACCATCACTGATAAACTATAACCTTTTGACAACTGTTTGGAAAAGGTCTTATTATGTACCAGTATGAATGTAGCCCTTAAGAACCTAAGTCCATAAAGACATGATTTGATGAGTTTGGTGTGGACGGACTCAAGTAACATGCACAGTCCTGACCTCAACTATTTTGAACCCTTTTGGGATGATTTGAAATGGCAATTGCAAGCTGTATGTGAGCACATTTCCACAGATGCACACCAACATTTTGTGGAAAGCCTCCCCAGAAGAAGATAGAGTGTTATAGCCACAAAGTGACAGCCAACTCTATATTAAAAAACCATGGCTTTAAAATGGGATGTCCAACAAATTTATAGAGGTGTAATGGTCAGGTATTCACAACCTTTTAATTTATTATATATAATTTACATGAAGCCACAGAACTTAATGTTAAGTCCACTAAGAAAACAAGCCAACCAAAAGACAACTCAGAAAATTGGATTGCTATCTTGAAGAGGTAAATATACTGGCTCAGTTCACAAAGATATGACGATTGTAAAACCCTGGCAAAGCAATGCTTTATAGCTTGGTAAATTGAGCAATGTCTAGCACAATGAGTACATCTGCAAAGTTCAAAACTTCCTTTCCATTTTTACATAGCTCTTTTTGGGACGCCTCACTGAATATATACACTATAAATAAATAAAAATTAGTAAACTAAAAGCAAATTGTTACTCGATATTAAAGTAATATGCCTTGTACAATGTATTATACTGTATTGCAATTTATTTTTATACCCTTTAACCCGTATATAGACCTGTTACATTTGCCAGCTTTAATAGAAGAGGAATTTGGTTCCATATTCTATTACTATATTCTGCACGCAACTTGAAAAATATCTGCTTACATTGTTTCCTGTAGAAAATGCAATTAAAAATTCCACCTCTGCTCGATTAATCTTAGTGACCATCACAGTCATTTGTAAATTACCATCTGCTTTCCTTGTGTGTGTTCAGGATAATCGGATATGTGCTGTACACAATTAGCATGCCACAGGCCCTGTGTTCAATCTAAAACGTTATTTTATTATAAAAAGATTTCATCTGCACTCCTGCCCCTCAGCTGCCAACATGTCCACAAGACTTATTTGTGGAAGTGTAACGGCTAATTGAAATTGTATTACTCTAATGGATAGGATTCCCTTTAACATTAAATCACTGTAGCAGGAGGCTTCACAAATTAGCCCATGGACACAGCCTTTGCTGGCAACACATCCCGAGTAGAATAATGTAATTCTTCATGTTAACAACAGTCAGGACTGTTATGGAAAATTTACCGCTAAAGGCGACGCTGTGTTTCAAGTTACTTCTCTTGCAAGCTATTTATGTGACAAAAGAAATATTCTTAGGGGCACTTTTATATTATTATTTGAATGTCCTAAATTTGTGTGTTCTAAAATGTGTTTTCTAAAATGATGTAGCAAATTAAGTAAGAGATATTTCTGTATGGGTTCTGGTAGTATTTAAATATCTATGTATCCCAAAATGTGATATCAATATGCTTACATCAATCCTCCAATCATATATAGCACTCCACCTTTGGGGTTATGTGTAATGACCCCCCGCAAGTAGTGTAGTCAAGCACGAGGAAGCGCCATACCATGCTTTAAGCCTAGAACAGTATTTTATTGAGAATAAGGGCAGCACACTAGCACAGTGGTTAGCTGCTTCTGCCTGGTTAGTGCTTCTGCCTTGTAGCATCTGGGGTCCCAAGTTCAAATCACAGTCAGGACACTATCTGCAAGGAGTTTGCATGTTCTACCTGTGGTTTCCTCCCTCACTCCAAAGACATGCTGGAAGGTTAATTGGCTCCTGTCTAAATTGGCCCTGTATGTATGCATGTGAGATAGGAACATTAGATTGTAAGCTTCTTGAGGGCATAGTGTGAATGTGCACTATGTACAGTGCTGCATAAATTGTCAGCTCTATATAAATACCTGTAGTAATAATAGTAATCAGGAAGATGACAAGAGATAGCCAACATGTTTCGTGGATTCAACAATGCCCCTTCACCAGGGTTTGTCTTTAGATACACTAACACTTCACATGTATCAGTGTGGCACATGTCAGCATTAATGAATCACAGTATAATTTAGATTTTTTAAATATATTTTTAACAAATTTAAACTGCTGTTCCCAAGCTATCTTGTGTAACCAAAAGCCTACGAAAAAATCAAAGCATATTGTGACTTGCTACCAAGGGCATTGAGAGTTTGTCACAAGATTACAGCATACAAAAAAACCTATATTTTTCATAATCAGACTGAAGATTAGGAAGATAATAAGATATACTGTACATCTGTCACAAGCTACACATAAAAGAAAAGTTTATAAACATGGATAAGATTATTTACATTAAGCTGATCTCTCTCTCTCTCTTTCACAATAAAATATATTCCTTAAGATACAGATTGGAAAAGCCTATACCTGCAGCAGCAAGTCCTTTGCAGATGTCTTGTAAAATGCCATTATCCAAAGCATTTGAGCAATTAAAGTAGAAAAGAGGCTTTCCGACTGCCAGAGATAATTCTCGGATGGTAGATTTTTTCCCAGACGCCTAACAAAATGTAAAACATATTAAATGAAAACATGCTTGTGGCTTTCTTATATCATTTTCACAAACTGATTTTAAAAGCATTTTAGAATTAATTGTTATACAAAAGTAAGGTTCCAGTTTTGCGGTCTATACCAGTCTAACTTATAAGAACCATATTTATTAATGCTGAAAGACATTAGGCAGGAAGATTTTAGTTGACACAAGCAGAACTATTCAACCACAAACCGCCATACCATTCTGTTGCCAAGTCTAACTACTATTCCCAGTTACTCTTTATTTGAATGCACATATTTTGGAAAATGCTACAGCGTTTAACATAAAATAAGGCATCATAAACAACCATGTTGGAGCATTATAGCTTTCTAAATTAAATGTAATATATTTTATCTTATGACTTAAAAAAGGGATATACAGTGCATCAAGTACCAACAATATGTCAACCTACACAGCTGGAGAATGTGGCTGGTTTAGCATACTGTTAATGTTCATACACCTCTATACCCTAATATAATTTAAGTACGTTCCCCTACTATATATTCCCTTATACCCTAATAAACAGTAAAGAGCCAGTCCATCCAAAAGTCATAATACAGCTATAGGTGGGGCCTCCTGGGTTAGGTCATTCGCTGACTCCCTAATATTGTGGACAGTCCTAGAGTGAAATCTCTGAGGGTGTGGATTGCCTTAGCATTTAAGTCCCCAGAGGTACTTTTTAAAGGGTCAGTGCGCCCAAAACAAATATATCTCTTAGGGACTGTATTAGTGAGATCCCTGCACTTGAGTTTCTGAGCCTGCACACCTACCTTCAGATAACTTGTTATTTTCTAGAGCAACTAAAACCTAAAATACTCTGTTATACAAATACAAGTTTTAGTATATACACAGCCAGGCAGATTAATATCCCGTCCTCCTGCACAAAGCTTTTCTATTACATGAAAATGGATGGCTGAGTAGGCCATGCACGACAGTATTGATATATAGGAGCATCATGGAGACATGGGGGAGCAGGTGATTGGTACCAGAGTCAGGTGCAGTTAGTGTGTCACTACTTATCCTGTCTCCACCTGTTTGCTGTCCGTGTGTTATCAATAATGATTTAAATACTGTTAGTAGCAGTGCACTACTGAGACTGTGACTTAGAGCTGTCTGCATCTTAATGCTGTAGCACAAAAATGGTGCAAAGTGGGAGACAAATACTGATTCAAGAATCTTCCACCTGTGCAATCAGAGTCAGAGAATACCTGGGTAATGTAAGTCATACAGTCCTTCATATGATTCATGTCAAAAGGGCAGAGGACCTAGAAACACAATACAAAGCCAAGGATAACTCCAAGGCTTTGGTACTATGGGACTGTGCTCCCCCACCCTTGTGTCTAGCCCAGTGTCTGAACGTCACTTCCATGCTCATCCCACAACACCTAGTCCGGTCCAAAAGCTACGCTAAGGGCAACATAGCTGCAGAGTGGAGGGGAAACACTTGAGTACTAATCTGTATATATCTGTATATATCTCTTCCAGGCCATTTTGCTATCATAGTTTGACTAACATGTATTTAGTCATGCAACACTGTACCCAAATTGTCAATTTGTTTTGGGACAGATAGAGCTTTTTTTGGTGAAAGGGGTAATGTACAAGTCACATACAGTGGGAGAAAGGAGATTAGGGGGTAATGTGCAGATTTGCATGATAAGTAAGGTGAGGGGTTAATATACAGGTCAATAGAGACAGGCTGGATGGGCAGAGGAGGAGGGGTGCTACTTCCTGTGATCTGGAAATAATGAATAATTAACCCATTAGTTCTTCACTTCCTTCATTGTGAGAGGAAGTGGTGGACTCTCCAATGTAAACAGAAGAACCTTTGTTATATTTGTGATTGCTGCGATTGGTAATCACAGGGATCACAAGGTACGGAGCCATTTTGATTGGCTCTGTACAGTGTGTATGTGATCACAGCCAATAATTGCCGATATCATGGCCTTTTGCAGGCACACTGTTTAATTGGCATTCCAAAAATAGACCTCCTTGACGTTTTTTACAATACACCAGTAGGGGGGTGGTTAACCACTTGAAGACTGCGGTGTTAAACCCCCTTCCTGTCCAGGCCATTTTCAGTATTTAGCACTGCGGTAATTTGACTGACATTTATTTAGTCATGCAACCCTATACTGAAATTAATTTTATATATTTTTTGGGGACAGATAGAGCTTTCTTTTGGTGGTATTTAATCACCACTGGCGTTTAAATTTTTTACAAAATTAAGGAACAACTACCCAAAATTTTGACAAGAAAAACAGTTTCCCCTATATTAAATTATGAAACATTTGTTATTTCCCAATTTTCTGGTAAAATATTAAAGACGGGGTCATGTCAGGTAAATAGACACCAAACATGTCAAGCCTTAAAATTGCGCTTGAAAACTGGTCCTAGGCGACAGTTTATAAGCTTTTACCGATCATCAGTTTAGTGTCATCAGTGATTAATGGCCCTAAAATTATTGCTCACATTCCAACATTCGTGGCGATATGGAACATGTGCAGCGCAATTGTCGTTTTTGCGCCTTGGCGCAACTGACGCGTATTTATGGTTTTTTTTCCTTTTTTTTTTTTGCACTTAAAGTTATTGCTATCAATAACCCTATGTGACAGCACAGGCACACTGACAGGTCCTCTTTATGGAGACATTAGGGATCTCTAAGACCCCTAATGTCACCTGGGGACCCCCAAAGAAACTGAGAAAACAGAGATCTGCTTCAACAGCTTCTTCTCTGGCTATAGCAGACAGAGAAATGACATCTGAATGCAGAAGTGATGTAATACACACCACTTCCGCATTCAGAGATCAGAGAGGAAATCAGCAAGGAGGACAATGCTGATCTCCCTCCGATCTTCCTGCTGACAGTTTCTGAGCCGGTCCCAGGCACGTAGAGGGGACAGTGGAGCCTGGGATGAAAGGTAACAGCGGTGGAGGGGGGGGCGGCGCTGAAGGGGGGACGCACAATGCAAGGCAGCACATACAAGCGATCGGACGGCTAAAGAGCCGCTGATTGCTTGTATGCGTAACAGTCGTTACAAGCTGTGTACACCTATCAGTATAATCTGCTTGTGCGCATGTGCAGGGGGGTGCACACAAGCAGAAAAAAAAGCCATACATTTACGGCGCCCCACTGATAGGAGCTTGACGTCCGTCCATTTATTGACAATGGGCTCATAGCAAGTAGTTAAAAGAGCAGAGCTGAATAGAAGGCATCCATCCTCCTAGGACACTAGCAAATAACTGAGGCATACTGGTAGTGGGGGGGGGGGTTACAACCTAGGCTGGCCTACAGTTTTTTTTTGTTTGCTACTGTGTCCAATCCTCTTGTAGGTGGCAGTATAATCCAAAGTTTTAGGACTTGCTGTGTCACTCAATAGATGAGAAAGAAAAGTCCTTCAGACTGAAGTGACAAAAGTATTTAACTTCTTCTCATATAATTCTGACAGCACCTTTATGATTTGAGCAGAAGCAGAAAAGAGAGCAGCCTCTGTAGGGCCCTTGCAGACTAGCACAGAGCTGACACTTTTGTTATGGGAAGAAAATAAATAACAGGACAACAGAGAATTAAGGCTCCACTATTATAACAGTTCGGGAGTGGAAACTGAGAATGTTATAAATGCCCATTTGTGACTGGCCTTCTTTCATTAGTTTAATTAAACTAGTCAATGACAACAAAGGTATACTTTCCATCTTACCTGTGGACCTGCACACAAAGCATCAGTCCCAGCAGACACTGCTCCCATAACACTGAGAAAGATTTGTTCGGTTAAAGGAGTTAGAAGAATATGCTTAGCTGATCCATGATATTCATAACCATATTGGACTTCAGAGTCACCGATCTGTGTACAGCAAACAAATTACAACAACATTTACACACAATACATTTCAACACAATGGTGATTTAATAAATAAAAAAGTAACAGATTGTTGTTTTTTTTTAAATTGGAATAAAGGATGTATCTGTATGCATCATATCAACCAGAGGCTTCCTGTCATTTTCAATCTGCCTTTGAAATATAATTTCTAGTTTAAGTATACTGTAAACAACACACAATCCTCAGCTGTCTTCATTTTTTAAAGCAGCCTCAAAGAACTATACTTAGAATGAAACCAAAGTGTATTTACGTATCATTTGGAAAGAGATACACACTGTAATATTTTTAGTAGATGTCAACATGATGTTGTATATTATAAACATATTTCTACTTTTTAAAACAATACATTCAACAATCTAAATCAGTCGCTGGATAAATGCACACCCTGTTAAGGTGGCCATAAACTTTATTTCAGCCAGTTTATTGATGGACCGGCCGGAATTTTTACAGTGGGTGCCTCTGTCGGCACGCTTTCCGCCGACATCCCTCGATCAGCTGATTGAAGGAGCGGGTCGGAAAATCTTCGTACGAACAGAGGAAGCAGCCTATGAGCTGCCGTCTGTGCAGGAATTTGGACAGCAATACTAATCAACATGACAGAGTTTAGTGGTTAACTCTGTCATGTTGATTAGTATTGCTTCTAACCTGAAGAAGAAAAGTTAACTCTTGAAAGCTTGTCTTTTGAATATTATGTTAGTCCAATAACAAAGGTATCATTGCATACTGCAATACTCTGGGTTTTTTTGGGGGGAGGGGTTGAAATTATATATACAGTATACTGTATATTTAGCCCCAACCTGAAAAAAAGGAAATATGTTTTAAACCACTACATGCTCCTTTTTATGTTGATCTACTTCTGTTGACGGATTTACCTTTACAACAATCTCTTTGGTACTGTCATCAAATCCATAACACAATGGTTGGTTCTGTTTCCATAAAGGTGCTGTTCCTGACAGAATCTGACTTGTCACGTCACGCTAAAATTAAAATCAGAAATGTCGACTTGTTACTTATACCATCAAGTTTTAAATGACTGACTATGAGAAGCTGCATTAAACATTAACTTAAACAACTATATTACTTAATTTAAACACCATGTTAAACAGGTTCTGCAGATAAAACAAATGATATAATAAAAAAGCTTTAAAGACAAGCGTCAGGAAAGGTAAAGAAAAACTGTCAGGAAATCAATGTTGTTACCTGGAGATTTAAGTAATGAAGGGGACAGCAATAAATACTTGACACATCTGCAATGCTGTTGATAACACTGTTCCTGGGTAATTATTTTACCCTTTATTGCAGATTCTTTCAATGCTAACATCAAAGACCTCTATTGCACCATTCCTACTGAAAATGTGCAGCCTTTGTGCGCATGCCACACTGACATCACTTGCCAGACCATTTGGCAGAAGTGTACATAGCACGGGGGGAGACGGGGGGG